GTTAAATTATGAGCATGGAGATTCAGATTCCCATTTTTCTATGAAACTTGCTGGATAAATTTATTTCTATAGCATAGCCTGCTTTACATGTAGGAAACAAAGCAAACAATTAAATCATATGTATTCTTTTTCCCCCTTTAATCAGCAGGCCTCTTAACTTTATTGTCTTTGGAAACCGCTCTTTCTAAATCAAGTCCTCTTTGTTTGGAAGATAGCTACCTTTTGAGAATGTGTGCCAACAATTTTATTATAACTGTTGGAGTTTAAAGTAGCATTTGATTACTGTAAAAGTCAACTTCTGAGCAATTAAAATCAGGAATAGACAATACTTTTAAACTGGGGGTACATCTGAGATTTTGAGAATAGATCAAGTACCTTCACAAAATGGCTCCTGTTCTGTTTTCGAGGAAGAGGCATTGAGACAAAGCACGGGTTCAAACAAGTCCTCCTTTATTCCAAACAGTAACAGAACTGGTTACAAAATGGTGCGGTTACCTTTTATAGTCCCCTGCAAGGTACCTTGCTGGCCAATCGTTGCAAGGCTTTTTTCCCGCCTTGTGCATGTGCGCAAGGCTGGGAACAGCCTCTCTGGTCCCAGGCATCCACGTGGACTGCCTGGGCCAATCGTTGCAGCCTGCGTCTGCAGGCCCACGACATAACAGCTCCCTTGGCAGGTTTGTGGGAAATGAATGAATGAATGAATGAATGAATGAATGGGACAATCTGTTTCAAGAAATGCTGGATTCAGACATAAGGCAAACAAGCTACAACTTAGGACCTCACCACATGTTTGCTATTTGTTTTCTTTTTGCTTTTAGAAATTACATTTAAGTATGTAGGGCATGTTGTGCTATATTATAATTTATGAGAGATATTAAGCCAGCCAAATGATAAATATGTTAGCAGTAAATACATTCATTTAAAAATAAATTGTATTTTTCACTTTAAATGCCTTGTTATTAAATAATTAAAAGGTATATATGTGTTTTCAATGTTTTTTGTGGTCACCCAAAATTCTGTTTCAATATGTTCCTTTCTGAGGCCTTCTAGTTTAAATTTATATAGTTTAATATAGCTTAATGCCTCACCAGGTCTAAACCTGGCACTGATTTCAAGGGATACAGATGCTGAAACTTGAAAGCAAAACTGGGTCTATCAATCCAGGAATATGGACATAAATGCCCAAAATCTGCAAGAATCTCACAGACTCTCCTTTTAGGTAGGTTTTAAAAAGAGGAAGGGGCAACTCCATTCTCTCTTTGCCTTTTCCCCTTTTTCCCTTCTGGGATCAAATCCGGGCAGGCAGAACTTCAATCCAGGAATTGCTTGAAGATGTGGGGAAAATAGCCATCTAGGGAACAGTCAAACTAAATGTGGGATTAATATTTCTGGAGTTTTGCTGATAGAGAAGTAGCTGAGATAATCCCATTAGAAACCCTTTATGTTTCCTTTCTCCCCCACTCTTTATCCTTTGCTTTTACTTAAATCCTCTATAATTTTTTGAGAAAGACTTCAGTTATTTCTTTTTGAAAGGATTTTAACATCTCCCTGTTTAAGTTAAGCTACAGAGAAAAAAGAAGAGAATTTAGTTAAGCTAAACTTTAAGCTACAGAAAAGGAAGAAAGCAAGAAAAACAGTTGTCCTTCATCTGTTCTTGGGGAAATGTAGCAGCATTTACCCAATAGGCCTTCTGCTGCAAGGTATGGGAGGGATTGTAAGGTGGAGTTGGGCATCCCCAATACATTTCCTTATCCAAACGAACCTACCGTGTGTCAGCCACATGCAGGATTATGTGTGTCCCATTACATCCCATTTATCAAAAAAAGAACTAATCTTTCAAAATATTGTCATCACAATGGGACTGCATGTCATTCCTACAAATGAATCTGATGTTAGAGACTGGCACTGTGCTTTGCCTTGTGCTGGTTTCCTATTTAGTTTTACTTTAAATTTTAAAAAGTCTTTAATATAGACATATAGAGGAGGCTACGTGGTGGGCACCAAATGATGGAGACTGTGTCCATATAAACATTTCTGAGTAAAAGAAATCTAACCTGAAAAATAAAAATTGGGAAGCAGAAATCCCTGTCTGTCTGTCCGTCTGTCTGTCTGTCTGTCCTCCCTTCCTGCGTTGGACATGCTTGTGAACTGTGGCAGGATACACTTTATTTTCTGAATAAATTTCTTTCAAGATGCCCATTTGAATTTCTAAATGAAAACGTTATTTTAAGACCCATTGTGATACTATCTTCCTGTTTTCTGCTGATTTAACAGCAGTGTTACATTATATGTACTTAGGCTAATACAGGATATCACTGCACAAGGCAATATGACAACCTCACTTCCTGACCTATGAATGATAATACAATGGTTTCAGTCACGTCAGTCATCCACGCAGTCAGAGGTGAGGAAAGATCATCATTGGTTCAGCTGAAGTGACAGGAACATGGGACGAGGTTGTAATGTACAGATAAACAGGAATTTGCTATACACTTTGGAAAACACGAGAAAAGTTTGCTGCCTGATCAAAAGCTGTACTATGATCGTTGGTGATATTGTCTCAGTGAGAAGAAAGATTTTTATAACCCTGGGAAATGGCATGTGAGAATTTGAAATATGAGAAGGGGTTTGTTTTCTATACTTCAGTATAGATATTGGATCTAAAATAACATTAGTTTGGCAAATGGAAAATGCTATTTGGTTCATTATGCTCAATGTATCACTTTACTGTTTTTGATTATTTATTCTTTATTAAGCTGCCCATTCCCAAAGGCTCTACATTGCTAACAATCAAAACCTTCATAAAACAAGAAAACTCCCCTGAAGGTAATAAATTAATGAATGGTTTTACAGTACAAAAGCAGAAGAAAACATACTAAGCCATGTATTGATCAGGTGACCTAACCATCGCAACATGCTTTCCTCCTGGGATAGGTTGAATGATTGAATTGCAGGTGCTTTCCTGGATCTCTGTGGGGGAAGGTGTTCCAAAGCATGGAGAACGGGTGAAAAGGACTGGCCAAAGTCAGTGTTCAGAAACCAAAGCTATAGCTAGTTGAGCTTGGTTCTCAATAACTCTGTATTTGTTCATGATACTTTATCCCTTGAACCAGAAGTCCACCCTTCTTCTAGTTGTGTCATCCTTTGCTCATCACCTTCTTTTAATCATAATACCTAGCTGTGACCATCCAGATGAAGTTATTTCATAGAAACATAGAAAGCATTGCAAATACCAATTGTCATTTCTTTTCCAGACGGAGTGTGCAAACTATATCCGAGTTCTTTATCCTTTAAACCGGACTCATCTCTTAGCTTGCGGGACTGGAGCTTTTCATCCCATCTGTGCTTTCATCTATGTGGGACACAGAGGAGAGGTAAGGAGACAACGTGCATCTGAGGTAGACCTTATAAGTACTCTAGTGAAAGATTGAGACCCTTTTCTATTAAGAGCAATTGTGGCCCTGGGGTGGCAGGAGATGACTTTTGTTTGTTTGTAAAATGTTTCTTTGAATCAGTCTTTTTTTCAACTGAGAGAGCCAAGATGCTGGACTAGAAACCTTCTACAGACCATGAACTCTAGACCTCCATTATTCATTGAACTTGGCTGGGTGACTTTGAGTAAGTCTCTCTCTCTCTCAGTCCAACTCATCTCACAGAAAGATTGGAAAAGGAAAAATAGGATGATATATCCTGCCCTGAGTTGCAAAAAATAAAGGTAGGATATAAAGCAAATAAAGGAGATGAAGGAAGATTTGTTGGTGAGGAAAGAGTTCCCAAGCCCTCCCTTTTCTTGTGGAAAATGGTACTCTTTTATTTTATTCATTATTATATTTATAGGATCTATCCCGATTGCTATAGAAATAAAGGTGGGCTCCTTGGGGAGGGAGCTTCCCTCATTGATCCTTACAAGATTGAGAAGCAGTGACTGCCCCAAGGGTGTCCCAGTTGAGTGAGACTTGAACTCATGTCCTTCCAGTCCCATTCCAATGTTTCAACCATTACATCACATCTGGTTTCCCCCATCAGCTCCCTTGTGCTTGCCTTTCCTTTCCTTTCCTTCCCTTCCCTTCCCATTTCCAAGACAGCTGCAAAGAAATCAATAGCTGCCTATTGGTTTCAGACAATGGGATAGTATTATGGCTGGCCTTAATAATGGTGAAAAGAAATAACTCAACTTCTGGATTGAAATTGAGTTGTAGCTACACAAAACAGTAAATGAACGCAACAATATTGGAGAGACGAGTGCTGGCATGAGAGGAAGTGAGGATCGTTGTTATAAAATACTAAACTATAATGTAGCGTTATATTCAAAGCAAGTCAGTGTATTAAATATAGTAAACTACAGTTTTGCAAATAAAAGAAAAAAAGATCTTTTGGATCAGACTAGCATCTGGTTTCATAAGCTGACAGATATCTCTTGAAACCATATAGAAGCCTTTGATTGATATAACAGAGCTTTTCTTGTATGTGTACAAGTTTACTCACTTAATGCAGAAAGATTAAACAGTGATATTTCCATTTCCAAGAAGGAATCAATGCAGACAGCAACTAGGTTTGCAATTCTTTGTGTTAAATTTGGAAAAGTTGATTTATGTGCTTATGCTTCTCAAATAGGAAAAAAACCCTTGATTTCTCAGTTCAGTGCACTTAGCCTCCTTGTTGTTGCAACTTAACATAACTGCCTTTGTGGAATTTGTTCAGCTTTCTCAGCCTTCTAGGAAATGAATGTAGGATATATGAAGCTGTCAAGCTGATCAGTGTATTGCTTCATTCATATCTAACTCCTACTTATACTGCTTTCTTCCTCTGCCTATTTTCCTGTCTGCTCCCTTTTTTAAAAAACAAACCAAACTAAACCCAATTTGCATATTCCAACTGAACATATTCATTCACTCCTAGGTGTACTTAAATGGAGAGTGCAGAAATAATGTTAGGTGGGGATAGATTAAAAAAAATAAGGAGTTTTTGGTGCTCTCTGGGCTTGATTGTTTTCCTGTTTCATAACCCAACCTAGGTAACATTATCAGAGCTAGCAACCTATAAAAACCAGTGAAATTGCAACTGTATAATGGTCTACATCAGTGGTGGCGAACCTATGGCACGGGTGCCAGAGGCGGCACTCAGAGCCCTCTCTGTGGGCACGTGTGCTGTTGCCCCAGTCCTAGGCCTTCAGTTGGGTTTTATAAAACCTTTTCGCTTTAGGCCTCTGTCGCCATGTGCAAAAAAAAAAGAAAAAAGATTCAATCAGTCAATTTCAACTTCTCGTGGAAAAAAAAAAGATCTTGCAAAGTTGGAATTGATTGATTTAACTTTTTAGTCCCACCCAGTCTGCCGTTACCACCACAGCCATGCCCAGCCAATGGGCCACGCCCAGCCAATGGGCCATGCCCAGCCAATGGGCCACACCCACCCGGCACCCGACGATGCATAAGTGGGTTTTGGGTTGCAGTTTGGGCACTCGATCTCTAAAAGGTTCGCCATCACTGGTCTACATTAATATTAAGCCATCTGTCTTGTGCTTGGGGGATAGCATAAATATTGGGCCTATATAAGATATTTGGGATATGAGCTACAAATACTGTAACTTCCAAGAATGGATTCCTTTGGAACTGTGAGATCTACTTTGGAAGCTGCTGCTTCCCCCGTGGTTTCTCACATTTTTAAAGAAATCTTTTAAATTAGGAAATGAAACAATAGTCTCCAGTGTTGTCTTAATTTTCAAAAATGCCTTTGGATCCCAAATAGGCACCATAATCTTCTTTTAAATACAAAATTGGTGTATGGTTTCCATCGGGACCTTTGGCCTATGCATGAAGTAAAATTAGTAGAAATCATCTGCTGAGAGAGAGCCTACGCATCATCTGATATTTTGATAGTTTGTAACTGATTATGTTCCCCAAACTAGTCATTTTGTCTTTTGGTAATGCTGTCTTTAGGGATTTTTGGGGTGTGTGTGAATAGATCAAAAAGTTGAGATGACAAGCAGACTTATTATCTTGATTTATTTCACTGCCTTGTGAACCCCCTTGTACCTGTTATCATTTTGCTTAAGTACCTACAAATGCCCAAGTCTGGAAGCATTATTGTAGAAAATAACTATCTGCTTTCTGTAATTTGCACCTATTGATCACATTGTTCAAAATCCTTGCAACCAGAAGGACCACATTATTCTGTTAGTTTGAGATAGATAGATAGATGGATGGATGGATGGATGGATGGATGGATGGAAGGATGGATAGATAGATAGATAGATAGATAGATAGATAGATAGATAGATAGATAGATAGATAGATAGATAGATAGATAGATAGATGATAGATAGATAGATAGATAGATAAATAGATAGATAGATAGATAGATAGATAGATAGATAGATAGATAGATAGATAGATAGATAGATAGATAGATAGATAGATCCATTATTAGCTCAATCTCTTAGAAGGCTTTGGGGGCTACTTCATGAAAATGTATGGTTGTCTTCATGTGTGTGTGTGTGCGTGCGCACACATATATGCAACACCTTTATATATATATATAAATTACAAAACCTTTCATGTAACAAGGTAGTAATAAAATGTTGCATTCTATCAAACTCTTATCAAATGTCTAGTCTAGCTCTGTAAAGAACTAATACAAATAAAATCAAAACTAACCAAGAGTTAAAACCAATTAGCAGCCATTTGACCCACTGGCCTCTCACGAAAAACACCCTGATCAACAACCAGATATAAAATCTGTGGGTGGCATTTCTTGTCCTTTCCTCATTAATCAAGCTGGCCTAAGCAGGAAGGTCACCCAACTTCACCCCGTAACCCTTCTTGGCTCTGGCAATTTCAGAAGCTTTTATGACCAAGCCTGTGGGAGAAAGAGTCCTTTCAGCACAGCTGTTTATCATGAGCCCCTGGGATGATCACTTGGACTTCTCACATCATGCAAGCCCCTCCCCAAATGTTCAGACTGACATCACCCTGGTTTGCCATGCAAAGCAGAAACACAATCTAAGCCACTGTGTTGCGCCTGCAAGGAAGTCATACCAAGTGTGGGTGTGCAGAAAGCCTGAATGAAAGTGATTTGAAGAGATTTCTTTGTCCAGCTAAGGCGATGACTCCAGAGAAACAGTCAAAAATTGCAGAAATAATATCAGCATTGCAATTTTCAAAGGAGGCAGTTTCATTAAGCGGAGGGATATTTCTTGAAATTGAACAGGATAGCGAAGACTGTCTGCACCAAAAACATTTCATCAAAGAGTTAACTGTGGCAAGGACGTTTAATGCAATTCTAGGATGGGTTGTGGCCTTTACCTCCATAATCATGTATTTTGTCATTGACCAACAACATTTAGAGTCAATACTAAAATCAAATGTCAGTTTATTTGAAAAGATGAGTCAGCCTTTTTGTGGCCCCATGCTGGTTTATCTGAACCTAGAATGAAACTGACACCTTTTTTGGGGGGGGGCAATGCTGAGGCTTGTAGTTTACATTGTTTCACCTCTCTCTCTCTCTCTCTCTCTCTCTTTTACTGAGTCTCTAAGTTCTTAAACCCAAACTTCTTAATCTCTACTAAGGCTTCTCCTTAACCTCTACTGCAACCTAACTGTGCTAGGAAAGAAACATAAGCAACCTTCTTAGCAGGCCAGTATTAATCTTTCTAGCTAGTTTGTAGCCAGTTTCACAAACTTTATTATTGTCATCATCATGAATATCAGCAAAGAGTTGCTTGGTTTGATTTTCACTACTGTTGGAAGCACTGTACACAAAATGGTTGCTTCCCCACATCGCCTAGACTTTGGGCTCAAGAATGCTGCTCTCTCCCTTCCCCACCCATCACATAGATGCTCTACTCTGCAATTGAGAGCCAGGGTGAAGTTATTGCAAAACATTTCTGTCGCAAAAATGTCACTTTGTTATCCTACTGGAATCATAGCGAGCAGAGAATTTTTAATAGAAGTAGAAGTAATGATGTGCAGGAATCATAGACTGATATATTAGTAGAAGGCAAGCAGGAGCTCACGGGACACTTCCTTATATAGAAGAGGCAGAAAATTGAGAGAATTGGGGAGAAGTTGGCAGGTGTCAAGTGACTACGGTAAAAAAAAGGGAAGTGGCAATAACAGGAAGGGAGGAAGGAAGGAAGGAAGGAAGGAAGGAAGGAAGGAAGGAAGGAAGGAAGGAAGGAAGGAAAGGTAAGGTGGGTCGGTCAATTATTGGTGATTTTTGTAAATAAGCATTTCAAATAAGTTTTGAAATACCTTTATAGGTTCCACTATAGAGGAACAATGTCTACCCTGTTTCATTTCTTCGTACAGTGTTACTGTGTTGTTAAAAAGGATATATAACTTCACTACAAGAACTTATTTATTATTTGAGGTGGCAGCAAAGTTTTGCTGTAATAGTAATTATTACCAAAATAAATTTAGAAAAAAAAATGGTCCAACTTTTGATGAAAAAACTCAGTTTCACCATCTTTACATAGTGGTAGGTTGCCTCCCACAACAACTTAGATTTGTTGTTATTTTTGCAAGTGGCCAGAGAGATGCATAGTACATACGGAAAATATGATGTGGTATCTGTGGGTGTCTCTGTGTGTGTGTTCTTTTATATTATGTAAGACAAGAGGTTTTTTGTAGCAGTTCAAGGGCAGGATATTGTTACATCATGGATGCTATGCCAGCAAGCTGGCAGAAATGAAGACAATAGAAGATTTCAAACTGCAAAATATTGGGAATTATAAACACTGAAATTTGTATGGAGTGGAAATACCATAAATAATTTCAAGAGTTTGGCATTAGGCATGCCACCTTGAATTTCTGAATGAAAGTTGTGATATAAATTTAGGAAATAAAAGAATAAACCCTTTTCCATTTTTTTCACTTGTAATTATACCATTACAGTCTAGATTAACTTTCCTTCTCTTCAGTTTCCCAGATGTTTGCAGATTCTGCAGGTTAAATATATTCAAATTCATATTTGTATATTAAGTATATTATTTATAATTCAACTGGGAAAGGCTAATTTGGTAAAAAGGCTAAGTTTATAAGATCTGTGGGTCATTAGAGATGGGATAATGTGATTGATTTGGAGAGGGAGGTAAACTTTTCTAAAATGCTCAACAACACTAAAACTTAAAGTTTAATTAACTTTAATTTTTTCCCCTTACTGTTCAGATCCTAACCATTAATTTCAAGGTTTTGTCCATTATGATTTTGAAATGTTGACTGACAAAATTGAGAGAAAGACAGTGGGACAGTGTTAATACCTTATTGGCAACTGATTTTGAAATAGATTTTTTTTTTATTCCAGCAACACATAACCAGCTAAAATTATTCATAAATATGTAAACATTCCAAGATCTATTGGCACTGAGAAAGCCATAGGGTTAATAATGGGATGAACATCAGTCTTAGTAACTTGATTTTCGCTTATATTAAGAACAAAAAGCTGCTGTTACTTCCTCTTGGTGAATCTGTGCTATCACGACAAGGGTTTCCTTACACATCTTACGATCTGAGTGCCTTTTAGAATTCTCTTCATTTTTATCACATAAATACTTCCACGTTTCCTTTGACTCTATTTGCTTCCCCTCATTTCTCTTTCCAGCACATGTTCAGCTTGGATCCAACCAGTATAGAAAGTGGCCGGGGCAGATGTCCACATGAGCCTAATCGGGCGTTTGCAAGCACATTTTTCAGTAGGTGTTAAAGTCAATTAATCTGAATCTTTTATCCTAATAGCTGTCCATGGATATTTATTATTTTATTATTTTATGCATATATTTTTTCCTGCTACCGTGGTCTACAGTTTAAGACATAGGTGCTGGAAACAATTGAAAAATTGCATTGTCTCAGGTGGACTTTTCAGGAATTGATCTTATAGGCTTCTTTGCCTGGCCTTTTTCTGTTCTCCATAGAGAATTCAGTTCTTCAAGCAAACTCAGAACAGTCTAGAAAGGATCTGTCAGACCATTCTTCCAGGCTGCTGCTGGTCACTCTGCTCAATAATCAATAACTTGGGTTATTTGTCTGTAAGCATGTATTAGAAAGCCTCCTCTCTCACCATTTGTTATCTGGGTGGCATACAAACAATAATGAACAAAATTAAAAAGCTCAACAAAACCAAAAACATAATACATTACTGAGGCTGTATTTCTCCGACGCCTTTCTTGAATTCCTATATAACATAAATCCGCTGTGCAGTTGCTGAATTTATGATTCTGTAATAGTTGTGGGTTCCCGTTGTGTTTTCTAAGACTACCATTATAAGCAGGAGCTATAGCAGCAGTATTGTGGGTTGGGGGAGAAAACAGTTGCTGTTTTGCTGAAATAAAAGACTGCTACCTCTTCTACTCTCAATTTCCCGATTTATATTTAAATTATGTTTTAATGTTCAGTGGAATCTGTGAGAAGAACCAGGATGAAGACAAGGATTGTTTAACCCAGTATTTCTCAACCTTGACAACTTTAAGGCTGAGGAATTCTGGAAATCGGTGCATCTGAAGATTGCTAAAGTTGAGAAACACTGGGCTGACTTTTTAAAGACTTACTATATTGATGAGTTTTCCCTATAGATGTAAGGCCTGCTCCTTCCCAGTATAGTCGCATTCATTTAGAATTTCAGTGTGATTTTGAGTCCACATAATTTAAAAAAGAAAAAGAAAAGACAGTAGAGAAACGAAAGGCAGCTACAAAACTCCGTTCATTCTCTCTAGGGACAACGGCTTCCCCCATGCTTCAATTATTTTCTTTCCTCATCTCACACAAAAAATTGTGCTATACATTTCAGTGTTGCTTTTGGTAATGAATTGTCCATGGTAAGAAAAATGATGGGAAAAGTAAAAGGAACAGACGGGAGGATTAAAAATGGTAGATGAAATCATCTGGACTTCCCTCCCCATCAGATCCCATGGGCTGTTGCATAAGAAAAGGCTGATCTAGAAAGACCCGGAAAATTGAGAGAACAGACTTGTCAGAACGGCAGTCAAGGAATCTCCCGTTCAGATCTGACCTCTGCCATAAATGCAATTGATGGCTGTAGGCAAGCTGTGCTTTCTCACCTTGAACCATCTGTGAATGTTATAAGGCAGGGGTCTGCAACCTTGATAACTTTAAGACTTGTGGACTTCAGCTCCCAGAATCCCTCAGCCAGCTATGCTAGCTGAGGAATTCTGGGAGCTGAAGTCCACAGGTCTTAAAGTTGTCAAGGTTGCAGACCCGTGTTATAAGGCAATCAGAATACTCATGAAATCCTTTAAATATAATGAGATGCATCTTTATGTGCTGGTACCTTTACTATTAAAGGTGTTAATAAACACAAAACATGTATGTAAACAGCTACTGATTTTAATTGAACTTATTCTCTAGGTGGAGACTTGTACACGGGGCTAACAGCCGATTTCTTGGGCAGGGACCCTGTGATCTTCCGGACCATGGGACATCGCTCTTCTCTACGTACAGAGATGGACCAGAGGCTGCTTAATGGTAGGGAAAAATTAAGTCATCAAGTCAAAAGGCACATATAGTGAACATATAGAGAAGTTGGGATTGCTTCATTTTAGGCAAAGAATGAAATAGGTGTGTGCTCCATGAGTTTTGGGCACTGGGTCATGGCAAGGATATAAAGGGGATTTAAAAAAGCTCATGCAAAGCTCAGAGATAGCCAGAAGAAAAGTGACTGACAGAAACCTATACAATGTACACAGCAATCAATGAAAAAGGGAGTGTTGGCCACAGAAATAAGAAGGGAAAAAAGTTGAAATGGAGGTCATGATCACTGTAAATTTGTACATGGGAAAGGAGGAGGAGATGGAGAAGTGTTTATATAACTAACCCTGTAGAGTTTTAATAAGAGTTCTTATCTGTTATCTCTCTTGGCAATAATCTTCATTAACTGTTCCAAGACAGAATCTGCCAAGATTTTAAACTTTTAGGACCAGCACCAAGTTACAAACTGCTTCTGGGGATCTTTTTTCTTAATCTGTCCAATTATTATTTTTTCTTCAGCTCCCAAATTTGTTGCTGCTTATATGATCCCAGAGAATGATGATCGGGACAATGACAAAGTCTATTTCTTCTTCACGGAGAAGGCAGCAGAGTCAGACAGCAAAGGACACGCCATCTTCAGCCGTGTGGGCAGAATCTGTGTGGTGAGTTTTTCAGGTCATTTCTGGGCATAATGATGCCCCCTTAGAGATGTGAGCTGGTATTGAACTAAAAATGAAAAAAAAAATCTTGCAGCTCTGGATATCATATTTTAAAATCTGAAGATCCTGGGACAGCTTATCCCCTGTGAAGTGGTTGCTTGCTGCTCTTTGGGATTTAATTTAGGAGAAGCAGTTGAATTATTGTATGGTACTTGAAGATAAAGGCCATATGATGTGTCTTTATTTTATTTTTATTGCTGCTCTGTTATTTTAGTGGTACATTGTAATGTGTTTTGCGGATGTTATTGCAAGCTGGCTAGAGTTCTAGAAGGAGGCAGTATATAAATTAATGTAATAAATAAATCAGAAATATAGGTTAAACGAGTCAGTTGACATCTTTATGCACAAGTGAAATGGATCATTTGGTCTTTGACTGGTGCCTAATTATATTTCACGGGTGAGTTTAAAGAGATTTATTAATAGATACAAGGCCATTTTATAACTTAGCCATTTTGTGATTTATGGCATTACTGGTTATTATGAAAACGGTTAAGCAATAATAGCCTTCAGTCTGATTACTTGTTTTCTGCGAGTCAAATGAGAATATGAGAAATGAAAATATCTGAATGTGTATATTCATTATATTGATTTTTTAAAGATATGTTTAAAGATGAATCCTCTTCTGGTATCAGTGGCAGAAACGGTGCTGTACAGATTTCATTTGGGGGCTTAAATGGCATTGCATACTTTTATGCAGAAATAGCAGAGGCTAGACCAGTGATGGCGAACCTTTTAGAGACTGAGTGCCCAAACTGCAACCCAAAACCCACTTATGCATCGTCGAGTGCCGGGTGGGTGTGGCCCATTGGCTGGGTGTGGCCTGTTGGGTGGGCGTGGCCCATTGGGTGGGCGTCGCTGCGGTGGTAACAGCAGACTGGGTGGGACTAAAAAGTTCAATCAATCAATTCCAACTTTGCAAGATCAGTTTTTTTCCTGCGAGAAGTTGAAATTGATTGATTGAACCTTTTTTTTTTTTTGCACATAGCAGCGGAGACCGAAAGTGAAAAGGTTTTATAAAACCCAGCTGAAGGCCTAGGACTGGGGCGACGGCGCACGTGCCCACAGAGAGGGCTCTGAGTGCCGCCTCTGGCACCCGTGCCATAGGTTCGCCACCACTAGGCTAGACCAAAAATGTATAGATTGCCAGCTTTCCACACCAGAAGGGATAAGTGTTTCAGCTTCATTTTTGCTTTGTAAGACCCTGTGTGAATTGTTAGCTTCTTTACTAAAAATACACCCGAGAATTGATAATTTGGATTTACACATAAGAATAATCAAACAAAATTGTAGTCCAGCCTCTGGAGAGTGGAACAAAAAACTTTCCCGGAAAGGATTGGCATGTATGATCTGCAGCCAAGGGTCCAAATGAAAAATAAAGTCGTAACCATTAAAGCCCTAAGCTCTGCTGGTAAGCAAGAATTGCCTCTAGGACTTGGCAATGCTACAGATGCACTGAATATGGAAACATTTTAAAAGGTTTATCTCTGATCACGGAGGTCTTGTCTGCTTTCAATTAAACAAAGTTGTCCAGCCCAGCTCCAAAAACCTGGAGAGGCTAAATAAATTTGCTAAAGAATTTGGGGAAGATGCTAACACTAGGTATGAGTTCTGGTGAGTGGTAGAGGTGATCAAGTAAGAATTTATAGACTATTGTAGCCTAAGTGTTCAGAGTCTCTCAGCATTGAGATAGACAGCATATAAATTTAATAAATAAAATACATATATGAAAAGTGAAATAACCAAAGTTGGATGTGTTGCTAAATCCAAATTAAGATTAAAATGCCTACGGGAGCCAATGTGGTTTCACGCTATATTTTCTTTTTCTACTGCTAGGACACCTGCACACCTTATATAAACTCCCTTTCACTTAGAGTGCCTTACATCCCAAAAGACAAGGTCTCTCAGTGTTTTCATGAAAGGAAGTACCAAACAGTCCCTCTCATATGATGAAAAAGAAAGGAAGCTACAAGAGCAGATACAGAACAAAAAGGCTCCCTGATATCTTTGCCACAGTATGTAGCTTTATGTGGCGGTGTCTTTTCTCCCTCCGTATTCACTACAGTTGCTTATTTCTTTCATGATGCGGTGATATAACATTGTTGGGATTCATAACAGGGTTATTTTAACACCCAGAACTGAAAATGCAGCTAGTTAAAGCTGGAAAATGCTTTTAAAAAAACGATTACCAATAGTGTTGTTCAATCTATGTTCACTGGCTTCCAGTAACAACCCACCTAAAAATAGAACCATTGGTAAGATTTTTTTTTTTTTAAAAAAGGAAGGAATGTTTTGAAACAGGAGAGGAGAAAATGTGGACAAATTATCTGAAACTTAGGTGAGCCTAGTTGATTCTGGTTTAGCTTCAACTAAATCCTGATTTATACTGAATTGTTTTATACTGAAGTTAAACTTGCTGTCCCTTTGCCTCTGGTTCCTAAAGAAGAGCAGTGAGTGATGTAATGGAGGTCTGTTTGGAACATATGGCTGGTCTTAAGTTCTCCTATCAAGATCTCCTCTTTGGTAGGGCTGCATAAATCTTGCCTGACACAATTGTTTCTTTTCCAGCCAAGTTATGAACATGGACATTTTCTTTCTGGTAATTCTCTTTCTTGTGATTTTTTTTTTCAAAAGTGACGAGGGGGGGAGGAGGAGACTGGTGTTGCTGTAGAGGAGGAAGGGATAATACTTTAAAGCTTTTGAATTCAGTTGTTCTTCCAAATGGAAATGCCCTATTTTATTTTATTTTTTGTTCAAGCCATTTTCACTTCCTCCCTTCTTTTCTGTTTACAGTTCTCCTATGAGCAGTTCCTTCTAGCCAAAGGTTCCACAAAGCCATTTCAATGCCAGCTTCGGTTCTGCCTCCTGGATTTCTCTCCATCACACATGCATGAAGTGTAATGAAATGAAAAACCTGCTCTGCAAGGAAACAGGCTAATGGTAGAAATAGGAAAGGCGCCGATCGTAGAAGCCCCTCTTCGCTGAACCTCCATAGTATTGTAATTGATTATGTCATTTGAGTAACATGAGAGACAGTTTGGTGTAATAGTTAAAGCGTCCGGCTAGAAACTTGGAATTCTGGTCCTGCCTCAGGTACAGAGGCAACTGACTGATCTTGGGCCAGCCATATTGTCTCAGCCCTGGAAGCAGGCCACGGCAAACCATTTCCAAAATCTTGCCTAGAAAAGAGCAGGGACTGGTCCAGGCAGTCAACAGGAGTCAAAACTGTTTTGAAGGGACAAAATAAATAAATTGGAGTTATAAGTCATTAGCAAAACTCTTTAAATATTCCACTTTGTATTTTATGACATCTGTCTCATGTAGAAGGCCAAAACTGAGAAAAACGAACATATCGCAAATACATTCCTAGCTCTTTCATTTTCTCTTTCTCACTGACCAAAACCCTTTTCTTGTTTGAGCACCGATGTATTTACTTTTTAATAGGGATGTACAATGCTTCAGATTTGAAGCCAAAATGGTGCTTCGGAGGTCACGTGGCTGCCTGTGTAATGCCTGATGTGACTCCTTAATCCAAAGATGTCTTTGCTGAGATTACTGACTGGCTGTGGAAAGCAAGTGCATGATTCCAGGGAAAAAAGCACAGTTGTTTGAAGGAATTGCAGATAAGCACTATCTGAAGATCCCCCTCCGCTATCTGAAGCACCTTTTTATATTTGTATCTGAAACCTAGCTGAGCTGTACTTTTTAATACCATTCGTAATGTCACTCCCCATCATTAAAAGCAGAGGGCTAAGCTGATATATCACAAATAAAATCCTGTACCCATTTTTGAGACTGGTTGGCGGCTCCCCTCCCAACCAGTGCCCGCTTTAACAATTCTCTGTAACTTTGGTAATTGTCAAGCTTTTCCAATAAAATAAGAGAAAAGTTTCCATATGTTCCTGGAGGGGTTGGGATTGGATCTCTTTCACTAAAAGTGTTTTGAATTATCTTCACTCAGTTCTCTTCATAAGGTTTTCAGGTAGCAGAATGGTTTTTTTTTTAAAAATGAATGTCTAAATGGTTCTTTTCAGCTGCAGCCCCTTACTAATTCTGTCTTACTTACTTGCTTGGAATCAGCAGAACATTTTTACATGCCAGTGTTCGTGAAATTTTAATATATATTAATTTTAAGTATCTTAAGGTTTTATGCATACATAAAACACAAACACACACAATATGAAACTTAAAGTATTTTTATTTACTCATTTAAAAAAATACAAAGAGATTTACAATAAGAAATTCAAACAATTTAAGAAATTCAAACATATATTAAATTGTTATAAAATATATACAGAATAAAAATAATAAGGCAGTAACAAGAAAAAGCAGCAATAAAAGGTTAAAATAACAGCAGAATTATTACTAAAGACCCAGGCACAGTAAAAATGTTTTTGCTTGGCACCCAAAAAGTAGCAAAGATGGTGTATTTTACTGGGGACGTTGGATGCTACAACTGAAATGATGAGATCATACTTACCATGCTTTAGCTTAGCCTTCTCTGCCCACAGCCTGGAGTTCGATCCTGACAGGCTCGAGGTTGACTCAGTCATTCCCTCCTTCTGAGGTTGGTAAAATGAGGACCCAGATTGTTGGGGGAAATATACACATAATATTGACATTGTAAACCACCTAGAGAGTACTATAAAGCACTATGAAGCAGTATATCAGTGCTATTGCTAAGTGCTATTGGCAGAGTACCTGGAGCAGATCCTCTCATTTTGATATGCCATGTGATGGTGATCAAATTATCCATTTAAAATAAATAAATGTCAGTTTTCCAAAATAAATTTCAATATCTAACCAATCTGACTGCTTTGAAAGAGCTAAGCAAGGTCAGATCTGGGATTGAGAGATTACCAGGAAAATCTAAACTGTAGGGTGGACTAGGAAGTAAAACGATTTCGTTGCTTTGAAATATTTATAAAAATAATAAAGGTATGATAAAAAAATATCTGAAAAAAATAAGCCCGGGGAAATATTCTGTATACTCATGGTAAAACACATAGCCTGAGAAAAGTAGTCATCTGAATCTCACTCATTAAGAATAGACTTTAATGCACAGAAACTGACTTTCTAGCCATTTTGGAGGGAGTTAAATTAGATGATACAGTGCAGACAGGCTGTGAGGAACACAGTTCCCCTTAATAGCTCCCATTTTTTGGTAGCTACTGCCCAAGATACCTCTAATGACTAATGATAGGGCCCATATTGGATTGCTTACACAAAAAGGCAGTACTTTATTGACTTTAAAATTATAAGTAGGTGATGCAGTTCAGTGGTGAAATATATGATAAATGTAGAAAGCACATTTCAATCCAATTCTGGCATCTCCATTTTTCAGACAGCAAATAGAATGGCTTGCCTGGTAGAGAATTATTTGCCCACATTTATTTCTATTGCCTTTGAAAGAATCAGTGGTTTGACAAATAGCTTCATCTTTTCTTATGTAAGCTATGGAACTAGGTCATTTCTGGCTCAACGGAGAACTCTGGGTTGATTTGTTTTAATGAACTTGTTTTGTTTTGTTTCTTTGGCTGTCCATGGTATGTTTGGGAATTTTCTTCAACACCGAAACTCAGAAGTGTCATTACTTTTTCTGTCTAGCTTCTTCATAGCCCAACGTTCACTTTCATAGTAGAGAGCACAGGGAAAACCTCAGTGTCTGAATATCTTTTCCAAGCCCTTCATCCAGGGCTTCTCTATGACATATTTCTTGACTGCTAGTTCCTTTACAGTTACGTGCAATCAATCGTTTTCAACTCCTAGTGGCCCCACAGAGAGATTTTCTTACTTGTTAAGAGAGGATCCTTCTTTGAAATAGGTATCCAGCAAACATCATAGCATCTTTGTATTACTTGAAATGTCAGAGAGCATCTCCACCAAGTGGGGAAGTGAAGGGTCTTTCACACACACACACCCGCCTACTATTCCATCCTTGGTTGAAATTGTTCCAGGACTTTTGGTTAAGCACTTTGTAAAATGCATTCATCTCTTTAGCTCCCCTCCCCCTTCATTCTTGGGATTCATCAGTTCTTACGCTCAGTGCTAGAGCATTATCATTTTGATGAATGAGTACTACTGTTCCATCTTACCATACCTCAGAGCTATGGATGCTCCATGGCAACAGTGAAGGCCAAAAATGCTGGATGGAGCTGTCTAAGGGTGTGTAAAGAGACTGCAAACAGTTAAGCTAGTTCAAGTCTAGGGCTTCTTTCTCCTATGCTCCAACTGGCCAACTCATTTGTGACCCGCTTTTGGTGATTTATTGCCATTGTTTTCACCATGCTGGGATATATTAATACATTGCTAGCCTCATCTTTAAGACTCAACTCCCTAGACTCTGCAGAGTGGGTGTGGTACATAAGGCACTTCGGAGTGTGCAGTCTGTCATATTACAGCTTGATAAAGTGTATTTGGATTATTCACAGCATATTTTAGGAGAGCTGATTTTTTAAATGTTTATATTCAACTAAAACAAAGAATAGTCTACTGTCTCTTAAATCAGGGAAAGAGAGGCTATTGCCAGAAGAACCAATATGCTGCACAACAGGCAGCAAAGAATTTTCTGTAATTTATCATTTGATGCTTCGCCTGAACCTGGGTGTGTTCCACACATGTTCCTATTTTGGGTGATGCTTCAGACATATTCCTGTTCTTCTGTACGAAATGTTTGCCAGTATATTCTTTTTCTCTCTTAATGTTTTCTAGCCAGAAGAATAGAGCAAATATTCTCAACTTATAACAATTCCTTTAGTGACTGCTCAAAGTTACAATGGCACCGAAAAAAGTGACTTAGGAACATTTTTTCACACTTACGACCGTTGCAATATCCCCTGATAACATGAGCAAAATGTGGACGCTTGGCAATTGACTCATATTTGTGACAGTTGCAGTGTCTTGCAGCCATGTGATCACCTTTTGCGACCTTCTGACAAGTAAAGTCAGTGGGGAAGCTAGATTCATTTCACTAACTTAAACAATTTTAGTGATTCATTTAGCAAGTGTGGCAAGAAAGGGGCAAAAAAATGGGGCAAAACTCACTTAACAAATGTCTTGCTTAACAACAGAAATTTTGGGGTCAATTGTGGTTGTAATTTGAGGACAGCCTGTACAATAAATAAATAAATAAATAAATAAATAAATAAATAAATAAATAAATAAAATCTGAACAGAGAAGCATAGATGCTTATTCAGAATCTAGATATATTAGAAAATGACCTCTTGGAGACACTTTTCCAGAGGATCCTCGTGGATGGACAGCAATTAACATCTTTTGCCTCTTAATTGTGTGTGTGTGTGTGTGTGTGTGTGAGAGAGAGAGAGAGAGAGAGAGAGGGAGAGGGAGGGAGGGAGAGAGGGAAAAAAGTACATCAAATAAGAAGGGGAGCGAGGGAGAGTATCAAATGGAAGATCATCCAATCCACTCTAAATATTTGCCTTTTGAGGCAGAGTGCCTGCATTCTAAAAAGACATCTGGAAGCAGCTATAACTAACAATTCAAAGACTTACCATGTTTGTGAAGCAAAAGTCAGAGCTTGGCCTCTACAAAGCTAAGAACCAACCTAATGGACAAGGCAAGATTCAGTCTCTATTCACTGCTGTTGAAAAATTGGAGAAAAAACAACAACCTTTCTCTGTCTAAAGAGCTGCTGAGGAGAAGTGTTTGTCAGCTGGAAATTTTCCTGATGGCGCCTGCCTGCAATAATTCAAACTCCCTAGAACAAGTCATAAAGTCATTGTACTACAATGGACTAGAGAAATGGAGATGGCAGATTTCCATGCAAATAGACTAATTCTGCTGGCTGTGAATTCCTTGTTCTCATCCTAATCCTACAAATAAACAATAAAACATAAAGATGAAGCAATTATTTGCTGTATTAACCAATCTTTCTACAAAGAGGGATTTTATGTTTAAGAGGCATCCAGGATGGGGATCTAATTTGATTTGCCGAGTTGGTAGGGACACAGATAAATCAAGGACTGGGGAGGGGGGGGGAGTACCCTGCTTAGTTAAGACAATCTATGGCCTTGTCCTTTTGCCTCTTTAGCAGACAAAACAGACACACAATGGCCGGGTTAAACTGCTGCAGTCGCTTGAGAGTATTGATCCACAATAAACCCAAAGGGATTTCTGGATCTTGTAGGGCTACTTTTGTGAAGGAAAAAGAACAGTTGTCATAGAACAATACCTGAAATGTAGTGATGGTGATTGTGGTAAGATAATTGGAGTCTATTTTGGTTCCTCTATGGCAGATGAAAACAGACACGTGTTAGTTGTGGGTTATATTGAATATTTGGGAGAGAGAATGAAAACCACATTGAGCAGGGCACTGATGAAAAGTAGGTTAGGGTCATATTACATGTGTAGGCTGAGCAAGGATCTTCTGTGTTTTTCCTGGGATATTTTCCTGGGGTATTTTTCTTTGCATTTTCTAGTTGCAAAGAATAATTTTAGTATGTATACTGTTACTTCTTTATGCTTCCTGTGGTGAAATGAGATTTATTTTAGTCAGAAGTCTAAAGTTTATTTTGGGGAGAAATAAATGTAGTTTAAAATCTTGCCACCAACTTCCCAAAACGATAAAGTTGATTGTTACTTTCAGTCTTATCAGTGTTTTTCTTGGAGTCTAACATTTTATGTGTGTGTGTGTGTGTGTGTGTATGTGTGTGTGGGAAAGGATTCTGTTTCTCAAGGGAGCAGTTAATTATAAACAGAATAATTAATAGTAATATTGTGTGTAGAATTAGTACAAGTTACTTCTGTTTAGAGGTGCATTATCAAAACTCCAGTCTTATGGGCAGAATTAGAGTTTACAATGTTAGATGAGCCATCGTCTCCCTTTTCTTTTTAATATTATATATGATTGTCTTTGTTTTTTTTATTTCCCCTTTTTCCTATCTGGTTTTAAAGTTCTTCTCCCTTCTTCTTACGTCTGTCACTCAAAAGTCCCCCCCCAACACTTATTACAAAAATTTCTGTGCTGCCCAATTCCTAATCTCCATGAAACTAAAACAAAATATAAAATCTCAAAATCAATAAAATCAAACCACTTCTCCAATGCCCACTCAGACAAAATGGTGAACTTCTGGAGAAAAAAGACTTCACCAAATCTGAGCCACGACACAGGATTGTTTCTGGACTAACATCTCCTGGTCTCTCCCAGAACTGTGACAAGAGTTGGCCTTAGGCTAAGGCCAAGTAGGTACTAATTTAAAGTGTCAAAGCTTAGGGGACAACAACAGATCCTCTCTTTCTTAATGAGGAAGGGGGAGATGTGGGAGACCTTGGGAGACGGGGAGGGGATGCTGCCTAGGGAAAGGTCAGATACGAGACAGCAGTTCCAAGAAGATTCCAACCCCATTTGCACTCTGATACAGATGAGGGCACAGATAAACTCCCAGGTGGCCTCAAGAGCTCCTCCAACACCCCCCTCCATCCTGTCAGAATGAATCCTTCCTTAATCCCCACCATCCTGCCAGAACGGATGAAGCTTCTTGGATGAGAAGCGAAATGTCTTCTTCTTTCTCAAGGAAAAAACAGTCCAGTTGCCCTTTGGGGAAAAAAAAAACCTTTAAAAGTACCCTTGGGCCATTTCTCTCAGTGAATAAACAAGTATAATGTTTTTGATTTGTTTGTTCAACTAGGTTCTCAGGATCTTGTTTCAGGACTTATGTGGAGAAAGACCATGTTTTAGGTCATATTTATGCAGAAATAATAAAAATTCAAAAGGTTCAAAAATTGTTATGTGCCACTGTATCAGTGTCTTTTACTTCTGAACAATATTTATTTCTCTTCTTTCAGAATGATGCTGGTGGACAACGAGTGCTGGTCAACAAATGGAGCACTTTCAACAAAGCCCGTCTTGTGTGTTCTGTTCCAGGACCAGATGGCATTGACACACACTTTGATGAACTGGGTGTGATTTATATTCCATAATCACAGTTGGTTGGTTTGTAGAGGATTAGGAATTTATATTTCCAGTAGGGGAAAAGTGGAGCCAAAGGAATGACCAGGAAGATTTACTGCTACAGTATATTAATCCTAAAACTAAGCAAGTGGAGATTTGATCAGAGCTTGATGAAAAATCACTGGGAGTTTAAATGCTTATGTTAGGAACTCATAATCTGAGATCCGTGGCCTTATGCAGCCTCCAAAAGATTTGTCTGCAATCTCCAAAGGCTTTCAGAAAATTACCAAATTATAATTTTTGATATAGGAAAAAGGGGAAATTATTAAATGCATGAAGAGTAATCCAATTGATGATAATAATAATAGAGTTGGAAGGGACCTTGGAGGTCTTCTAGTCCAGGGCTTTTCAACCCGGTAGTATGTGTACCACTAGTGGTAGGTCGGCACCTGGCAGGTGGTACGCATACAACAGATTGAACAGCACTGTTAAAACAAGTGTAAAAAAAAGTGTAAAAGTGGATGAGGTGAAGCGGTGGCAGCACCGCATAGGCTTGTGGGAAAGTCAGCTGGAACTGCATGAGGTGTTGCCTGGGTCCTACTGAGAGCCCAGGATCGAAGTGTGCAGCTCCAGCTGATTGGGGGTGGCTTTGGGGGTGGCAGGCAGTCTCACGCAGTCTTCAGGCAGAGATTCAGCTGGAGCTGCGCGAGGCATTACCTGCCTGGGTCCTGCTGAGGGGGAGAGAAGAGAGGATATAAAAGGGGGGGAGAGAAGAGAGGATACAAAGGGGGAGAGGATATAAAGGGGGGGGAGAGGAGGATATAAACGGGGGAGAGAAGAGAGGATATAAAAGGGGGAGAGAGAAGAGGATGTAAAAGGGGGGAGAGAAGAGAGGATATAAAGGAGAGAGATGAGAGGATATAAAGGGGGAAGAAATGAGAGGATATAAACGGGGGAGAGAAGAGGATATAAAGGGGGGAGAGAAGAGAGGATATAAAAGGGGGGAGAGAAATTTGTTAAATGAGTTTTGCCCCATTTTATGACTTTTCTTGCCACAGTTGTTAAGTGAATCAGTGCAGTTGTTAAATTAGTAACATGGTTGTTAAGTGAATCTGGTTTCCCCACTGACTTTGCTTGTCAGAAGGTTGCAAAAGGGGATCACATGATCCTGGGACAATGTGACCATCATAAATATGAATCGGTTGCCAAGCATCCAAATGTAAATCGCATGACCCTGGGGATGCTGCAACGATCATAAGTGTGAAAAATGGTCATAAGTCACTTTTTTCAGTGCCGTTGTAACTTTGAACAGTCACTAAGCGAACTGTTGTAAGTCAAGGACTACCTGTACTTAATCACTTTTTTCCTTTTTTTTTTTTTTTTTGTCATCAAGCTTTTGACACCTTGCTAGGCGACTGGTGGTACTTGAATATTGCCATATTCTAAAAGTGGTATAATCAGTGAAAAGGTTGAAAAGTCCTATTCTAGTCCAACCTCCTGCTCAGGCAGGAAACCCTGTACCATTTCAGACAAATGGCTGTCCAGTCTCTTCTTAAAAACTTCCAATGTTGGAACATTCACAGCTTCTGGAGGCAGGTTGTTTCACTGATTAATTGTTCTAACTGTCAGGAAATTTCTTCTTAGTTCTAGACTGCTTCTCTCTTTGATTAGTTTCCATCTATTGCTTTTTGTCCTGCCTTCAGGTGCTTTGGAGAATAGCTTGACTCCCTTGATGTTTAATTGCATACAAATGAAACCAATTGTAGTCTTATTCTGGCTCTGCCCAACTGCCCAGTGTTTGGAATTGGGTCACTTCTCCAGCATAGCACCCACAGACCAGCACAACCCTCACTTCAGAAGTTTATGTTCCTACACTAGAGTCTGGTGCCATGCAATTTTCTTTTAAATTGGGCAGTGCTAGTGTAAGAGGAGTTAGTAGCAGTGAAACAAAATGGACAGCACAAATATCTTCTAGGCCAGGGGTAGAGAACTATGGCCCTTTTATGACTTGTGGACTTCAACTCCCAGAATTCCTGAGTTTGCCAAGATATTAGAAAAAGCACTTAGAGAAATGTTTGTGTAGAGTGAGTATATTGACAGAACAGTTATAGAACTTGTTTGATCCTCCACTTTTCAACAGAGGACGTCTTTCTTCTGAGGGCTAAAGATGGCAAGAATCCCGAAGTCTATGCACTGTTTAGCACTATCAGGTGAGATTTTTCCGTCTGTGGTTTCTAGTTCTTCTATAATTACTTTTAACAGTGAATCTTTTAAAAATGCCCTTAAAAATGAATTTATAATTTTTTGTATACTCAGTATAGTTTGCTGTTTCTCCAATTCTTCTTCAGTCAACTTCAGTAGGATTCATACAGTATGAATTAGTTTTTCCAAAAAACTAGGCATTTATTTACCTAAAAGCATTTTTTTCATTTTTTTTCTCTGAATTGCAGCCTAGAGAGATAAGAAGCAAATATCAGTTACATTTAAATCTTGTATTACAAACAATATTTGGGTAATTTTTTCTCATTACAGCAATGTCTTCCAAGGCTTCGCCATCTGTGTCTATCGTATGGCAGACATCTGGGAGGTTTTTAATGGGCCATTTGCTCATAAAGATGGTCCTGATCATCAGTGGGCAGCTTATGAGGGCAAGGTGCCTTACCCAAGGCCAGGAGTTGTAAGTATAAGAATGAAGATGATGATTTTCCTGGGAAAAAAAAGAACAGTATATAGGAAGGGCAATTTGCCATGAAACAAATTAAAAAATAACATGCAAAATATCATTTTTTGTGATTATCCAAAACTGCCAGAACCAGTCATGTCAGTGGAAATGACAGTAAAACAATTTCCTCAACTTCTGGAATAAATTTTGCCAGCATGGGAAGAATAAAGGAATGTAATGAAATGGGAGAAAGGGTTGGCTTTGATTCCTGATAAGTAGCTATTTGCTAAAATGGTGCCCTTTCTCCTAGTGCCCCAGCAAAACCACCAACCAGCCAAGTCGTCAGTACTCCTCCACCAAAGACTACCCAGATGAGGTACTGCAATTTGCGCGTGCTCACCCCCTGATGAGCAAATCTGTGTATCCACTACAACGGTGGCCTGTGCTGGTGAAAACCAATCTGCAGCATCGCCTACGGCAGATTGTGGTGGACCGCGTGGAAGCTGAGGACGGGCATTATGATGTCATGTTCATTGGCACAGGTGTGACGTTAATCATGCGATGTATTGGGGTTCAGCAGTACCTGAACACCTCTCTTCCAAACTGCATACTGTATACAGAATATGGAGTTACAGAATGTGGAAGAATTTGTGAATTTGAAGATAATCTCCTGAATTTTCAAATCTTCAGACTACATCCTGACATTGAAAAGGAGTCTTGGGTAAAATACTGATACATGGGCAAGCGAAACTTTGCTATGCATTGAAACAAGGCATGTTTGGCTGAATTCAGAATAGAAGTGAGCCATTTGGACCAATTTGGCAGGATGTGAAGCAGTTAGAACTAAATTGTGACCACCACGCGGCTCTGTGAATGATTTGGCATGTTTTGACACTACAGGAAGTTTGCCATATACCAGCAAAATAGGATATTTTCAGCTTTTACTTATTCAGGAGGAGAGAAATGGTGAAGGAAATGGAAGGATTTGAGTGAGTCACAAATGTATATTTTTCAGGGAAAACACTTTTTCAGGGAATCTCCAGTTACAGTGTTGTGTGGAAGGAATGTTCAAATTTATCTCCCATTAAGGCTCCTTTCTTAGAAATTGTGTCCTTTTGCTTGTTGTATTTCAAAATGCAGCCCCCATTCAACGGTGAGAAAAACAATAGCTTGGCCAGCTACATGAAATGTTTTCCAAGTCAAGGTTGGGGAATGAGAAAAAAAAATGAACTGCTTAAATTACCACTTAATTTTTTTAAGGTGGAAAGTTGAGCATTGAAAAATAGTTTCTTTTTAAATTAGCATTTCCCCAATAGCTTTTAAATTTAAAAGATTCAAGTAGAGAAAGAATAAAAATGATTCAGAGATGCAAAGGAGAGGTCCAAAATCACATACTAGTAGTGTAGTGCATCTCGTAGTGTAAAACTAGGAGTTAGATTCTAGGCTACTTGCTATTCAAGAGTAGCTCTTGAAAAAGTTTCTAATCAGCTTTGCCAGGATGTTAGGCAACCCCAGGGATGCCCTTGTTTTAGTGCTTTTTCTCTCCTTCCTCCCTTTCAGAGGCTGGTTCCGTATTGAAGGTCATAGCCCTACAAAGAGGAAATTTTGCTGCTGTTGAAGAAGTCGTTTTGGAAGAGCTTCAAGTGTTTAAGGTGCAGTAAAAAAAAACAAACACCAGTATATGTGCAAGCCTCATGTATATAGATCAGCAGAGGAGCAATCCTGGCTGGCTAATTTTGACTGTGTTGCACATTGCTTGGTATTCACTGTTTTCTTGTACAGTATTTACATGTGTTCCTCTGACAAAGTCTTACAATATCAATGTACACATGTATGGTGATGGACCACTTTTGTGCCTGATTATTATTTAGCTATATAATTCCAGGTTTGCAAAGTGTTTTATGAAGACAGTCATCATCCTGAACACAAAAGATACCCCATTTCTTTTTTTAAAAAAAAAATGGTATTAATTAATTTTTATTAATTTTAATTAATTTCACTTAGAAAGTGAAAATTGTATTTTATTAATTCAGGTACGTGTGTATGCATACATACAGTACGTAAAGGAGCTATGATAAAAGTAGCCATAATGTAAATACTGCAATGATTATGTAAGCCTTCTTTTAGGTTTGGTTCCCATGTGGCTAGATAATGGGACCTTGCCCAGCTTTTTAGATAGCCTAAGATCCTTGCTTGTTGGATTTTGTGCTGTCACTCCCAAATTTGCCATTCTGTTTGATCCAGTTTTTCTCAAGATAAAAGAGAAAAAGACCATAGACTTATTTATACTTACAACTATTGAGTAATCTGGGAAAGAGAATGGTTGTATACTTCCATTAGCGCTAATTTTCAGATTTACTGAAAGTTTAATTTTCGAACAAGTGATTTGCCCAACTGCCCTTTTGTGCATACATTTGTTTTTGTGAGAAAATAGCTGGGACAATAATGACCTTCTATGACTATTAGAAATACATAAATGTAGAGTCATAGGATAGGGTTGGGAGTCATTTTGGTGACATATTTTAGCTGAGTTTGCCCTGTCTTCTTGCCCTCCAGGTACCAGTCCCCATCACTGAGATGGAAATTTCTGTGAAACGGGTAAGTAATGAATGAATTATAAAAATAAACCATCCACCTCTATCCATTTGCATTTTTACTATAAAACTCAATATTATTTAAGCTAGGCATGGCTTACCACATTAAAATGTGAATGATGAATTAATGATTTCTTGACTGATTTATATACTTCAGGGAATTCCATAGCAGATGAAATTAATGATAATCTAAATTACTGATACTTTAGTACTGAAAGGCAGTCACTAATTCAGACTAGTAGTGAATTTTAGGAACAATGCAAGGATATTTAAATACAAGAGTTCTTATTATCTTATTATCCAAGAGAAAAATCTTCCTGTATTGCAAAATTATCCTTATTTCTAAACCAGGCAAGAAATCACAAGATGTAATTTTATACTGACCCATTTTTCTACTTCTCGCTGATTATAAACTACTGTATATATTAATATATATACAGTATATATTAATATATACTGTATATATATTACCAATCCCCTCAATTCAATTATAAATAAAATTATATATCCAAACTTGTCTGGATTTAATCACAGAACTATAGCCAGTCCTATTAGAAAATTAGTAAATATTGTACGCTTCTGTAAAATCAATTTGGTATCAGTAGGTTAGTCAGATATATTGATTGTGTACAAAAAGTATTTCTGAAAAGAAGTTTACAAAAATTTAAATTTGGCAAGTTTTTTAGACATAATAGATCAAATTCATAAACCCATAAAGACCTGGATAAAAATTAATAATTATGACTAACTGGACAATTTAATATTTTGAAGTTTTAAACAAGGATGGCTATTATCTCTTTACTATTTAATCTAAATACTGAAGCTATAGTAATATTATGCATGAATAATAAATTCACAGTATTTGTGTGTGTGTATAGAGAGGGAGGGAGAGAATTACTAAATTTTTGCAGGCAATATGGTAGATAGTCAAACACAGCACATTTGTTTCATATTAAAAAGGAGCCACAAAAGTTTTCAGAAGTATCAGCTTTAACATTTTTCCACCTTGGATGCACAACAAAGAGTTCAGTTTTATATACATAAAATAAATATAACACCCTTCTTGCCAATAAAGTGATTCAAAATAAAATTTGGCCAGCAATTTTACTTGACAAACTACAAGATTCATGTGCTAAAGAAACAGGATGGCAAACCATAATTTTACAGGATCTAGAGGGACTATATTTTATAAACAATACTGTCATCCTCTGTCAACCCAGGGGATATAAGGAAATCATATATGATCTGTAATGAGACAGTGTGGATGCTAAACTAGTAAAGTGCCAATGCAAAGGTTTGATTGTTTCAAATAAAAATTTGAAAATAGGAACCGACCAACCTCCCCAAAGAATAGGTTCTTTATGGGAATATGGTGGTGGTGGTAAAAGCAGCTTTCAATCACCACCATGCCTGAAGTCCAACAAAACACTTACCAGGTTTTAGATTACGGGAGACTGTGGTGATTTTTTGTTGAAATTCAGCTAGAATAAAACAAATACAATAAAGATACTAAATTCTAATAAGACCAGGAAAAGTTCAGATACTTCATAGCAAACACTTTTTACCCAAACAGGGAACTATCATAATATAATTTACCTTCCTCCAATCTAACATTATCTAGCTCTGTTGGATTCAGTAACCATAATCTCAGATAGACTGGGAATCCTGTTTATAAATCATGGGTTGTGTAGTCCAAGATTTCAATGGGCGGTACATTGGGGAAAAACATGTGCCTGCTTTATAAACAGCGGACAACTTCCCAATTATTCTCAAATAGTCATTGATATGCAAATCAGAAATATGAAATCATTATTTAAATCATGAATTTCTATTTTAAATCATGCAGATCTGTGAAAAATGTTAACTGTAGTCTGACACTGCAGATATTAATTATCTCAAGGCATATGTAATGTGGCTTCTTTCTGTATGTCTTGACTTCTAAGACCTCTGACGTTACCAAGTAGATTTTCTTTGACATGAATGTATGCAATCAGTTTCAATTCTGAATGGCCATAAATAACGCCATAACATATCCAGGAAACTGTGGGAATTCCAAAGCCACTTAATTTTATTGCTCTTCCAAATGCTGTAGTGTAACTTAAGAAGGTTGATGACACAGCTGCATATATTTTCACTCAGAGGACCAAATACAGTAGAAAAAGGAAGACAGCAATTTAAATCAGGAAAATCTAGTTGAGGGGTGGGGGCGGGTATAGACTGAACAGTCCTTCCCGGTCCCATTGTTCCCATGAAATTTGACCCTTGCTGCACTTGTTTCTACAGCAAGATGGCAGGTGTGGCATTTGCCATCTTACCTGTAAAAGATCAGCATGAGCCAATCGGTGTTCCTGCCTGCTGATCAGTAAGGTAGCTTAGAAAAAAATAGTTCAGTCAGGATCTGCTCCCTAATTTTGTCTGGGTCCTAAAGGTCCTAAACATTTCCTGTTACCCATTTCACAGCAAAAGGGAAATTGACTCTTGAGTGTTTCCAATGGCCATGTTACTATTATGGGAACGTAAGATAAAGCAGGGGGTGGAACTGAAAAATAAAAAAGTAAAAAGAAATTATCTAGATAGTCTAGACATCATTTGTTTTCTGTATTTAAAAACACACCTAGAACAAAAGCGTATCAGCAAGTTTGTGGCAGGGCATTTCTTCCAGGACCGGTAAGAGTTTTGGGATGGGGGAGGGGGAGAGAGAAAGTTGAGGATGTAGGAATTGACCCTCAGTGGTGTGGGAGAAGGAATGAGTGAAGGCTCACTTGGGTCCAGGAAATGAGCCAGGGAGGATGCCCCTCCCCTCCATTCACAATTCCCATTCAGCAACAGCATTCCAGCAAACACTACACATGTACTCAAAGTTTTACTGAACCAAAACACCGCTAGGAGTAAGACAGCCAACTCTCCAGACAAGCCAGTTAGGCAGGTTTAGAGTTGGCTTCAAGTAGGATCAGAATCATCATATGGAGGTGCCTTTAGCAAGCTAAACCCCAGTTTTCTTTTCTGAAAATTGCAGAGGAAATTCTGATAGAGACAAAAGATGTCCCAGTAGAAGAGAATATCTATAGCTTAGGGTTGAACTGTGGAGTCCTGGGTGCTCTCTCAGCATGGTTATTTACTTGCAGACATTTCATTACCCAACCAGGTAATATCATCAGTGTTAGTGAGTGGAGAGGGGTGGGTGGGTGGGTTGCTCCCTGTTTTTAAAAAATGTCCACCAATTTTACTGTGTGTTTTACTCCCTTCACCAACATGAGGCGGCTACTAAAAATACCAGCTCCAAAGTGATTTGGTGCTTCTCCTATTAACGCTGCTTTGGTTTGCGTTGACAGCAAATGCTTTACGTGGGCTCACGGGTCGGTGTGGCCCAAGTGAAACTGCATCAGTGTGAGATTTACGGGACCGCCTGTGCAGAATGTTGCCTGGCACGGGACCCATATTGTGCCTGGGATGGCCTCACTTGCACCAGATACCAGGAATCGGGCAAACGTCGCTTTCGCAGGCAAGACATCCAGAATGGGAATCCCATGCACCAGTGCCTGGATCAAAACCTGACAGGTGAAGAAACTTGGGATTATCTGCTTAGAGCGGAATGGGCTGGCTTTTGTGGAGGGCTACCTGCCGTATCTTTGGCTTTCAAGAACACTGGAGAGTGTGAACATGGTAGCATTAAGATCAGTTACAAATAGGTGAGGTGTCTGCTGTGTTACCGCTAATATGACCCCTGTGTTCATGGAAACTTTACATTTTCACAGGAAGATGGGCCAACTTTTACCTTGGGCAGTACCTGTTTTATGATTTGAAAACATAAACAGAGCACCATAATCTTCACTGGAATATTGGGAAAGAGAGGAAAGCTTGGAGTCTTTGGCATCTTGAATTAACCCTGAAAACATTCTGGCAATTTTGATCCAGTTTTTTGGGATGGGAAATAAATCTCTCTCTGTACCAAAGAGCAAAGATTCAGGACGGGCCAGGCTTTAAACCCATTCCTACCTCCCGCATGTTCAGAAGCAATCCTGGGCCGTTGTGACCTCCTTTTATGGAGACGGGCACTTACGGAACGGTTGGTCTTCGGTAATAGCATTTTTGTGTTTTTGTAGTGGATGACTTTGACAGCACTGAGGAGAAGGTGGTGTATGGGACGGAGCACAACAGTACCTTCTTAGAGTGTATCCCCAAGTCACCCCAAGCTGCAGTGCAATGGTTTGTACGCAGATCTCCAGAGGAGCTCAGAGATGAGGTGAGACACTCTTGCTTTTTGTTTTCTTAATGGCAATTTTCTTTAATCTTCTCCCTCTAAGTATACCCAAACATTTACTCTCTCATGTAAATATATGAGTCATGTCAGCACATTATTGTTCCTGCTGTTTCTGCCACATAACTACCACATTTTTTTGTCTTGACTGTTTTCTTACACTAGTTATTGATTATTATAGAGCATTGTGGGGGTCTGGGAGATCTTTACTTACTAAATTTCTGCAGTCTGCAGTACAGCTGTAAAAGCTGAGGATCTCTGCCAAATATACCCGTTCCCATTCGGTGGAAATGTTCCCTGTCTGTGAATAAAATAGCTTTCTCTTCAGGCTGTAAGTACATATGGAGTTCTTGGTTACTGAAGATGGAACCGATAAGAAAGGTCCCCTCAACCTCTTCCAGTCATAAGGCAGAGCTAAATTCTTGCACCTGGTCGATGTGATCTGCCCTCCCTCTCAGTCTCAATCTGATATTTTTTTTTTTAATTCTTGGCTCCATCTGGGCTGGGGGAGAAAAGTGGTTTGTATCCGGACTTGAACAAAAGAAAATAGATTATCATGTAACTGAGCCTACTAAATATAAAGCATTTTCCTCTCTTGATTTGTACCTCCTTTTAAGGAGGCAATACAATAACTTGGAATGTCTTCTGTCAATAAACTACTCATGGCCATCATTGCCAAGACAGTGGTCCAAAGAGAAGGAAGTACAGTTCTTATGGATCCTACTGAATGTAAGGTGGATAGAGTTTAAATAACATGAAACAGCTGTTGTGGGCCTTCAAGTCTTGGAAGTTATTTTTATAGCTGTTTCTCTCTCTCCCTGCCCCCCCCAGCTCTGAGAAGATGGGTATGTGAGTTGTTTAAGACTTTACTAACTGACCCTGAATTCCTTAAGGAGGCATTCAGTGAGTTTGCTAAAACAGCTGAATTGATTGCTGATGCAACCGCAGTCTATGGCAACCAGAGTGTTAATTTGCAAATGGCTGGTGTTCAGACATTGGCAAACTGACCATCAGTCAAGAACTACTTTGGCTGGCAAGCCCTCTGTGGGGAAGAAATTGTTTGGGAAGATTATTGTTGTGATGTTGGTGGAGAGTATACTAAGAAGAGGTACTTAGCATCTGCAGCTAAGAAGGAAAATGCCATACACTTAAAAGATTAATTGCCTTTCAGGCTAGAAAGTAATATTCCAGCTTTTTTTCATACTGGAGGTAACCACGGAAATAGACATTGGGGACCTCAGGAATATCAACACAAGTATTTCAGTAACAGCAGTTGAAGTAAAGGAGAGAAGATGAGGAATTTGTTGTTGTTAATTGCGAAGTCGTGTCTGACCCATCGCGACTCCATGGACAACGTTCCTCCAAATCCTCCTGTCCTCTACCATCTTCTGGAGTCCATTTAAGCTCACGCCTACTGCTTCAGTGACTCCATCCAGCCACCTCATTCTCTGTCGTCCCCTTCTTCTATTGCCCTCAATCTTTCCCAGCATTAGGCCCTTCTCCAATGAGTCCTTCCTTCTCATTAGGTGGCCAAAGTATTTGAGTTTCAACTTCAGGATCTGGCCTTCTAAAGAGCAATCAGGGTTGATCTCTTCTAGGACTGACCGGTTTGAACGCCTTGCAGTCCAAGGGACTCGCAGGAGTCTTCTCCAGCACCAAAGATGAAGAATAAAGAACTCTAATTCAGAGCTCATTGTAGGAGTGTATGTCGATGGGGGTATATATATCTGTGGGGGTATTCTCAAAAAGCTTGGACATCTGGGAATGGACCAGCAGGGACAAGTCCTGGTCAAGGATCAACTGAGGAAGGGGGGGAATTGGTTTCTTTTTCTATCTTCTAGTGATCGGAATGACACCTCATAAGAAGTGTCAATCTCCGCCGACATGCCTTGATGTTCAGATCCTCTGGATTCAAGCATAGTTCTGTTAAACTCCTAATAAAGATACTTTGTAATCCATCGTTTGAATATTCAAAAATAAATTAATTTTGTCCTAAATTCATAGGTGGCCAAGGAAAGAGATGTCCTTCAGATTTTATTCTTTGAAATTTATGGTGCAGTTCTCGGCAAAGAAATATTTGGTGATAGATTTGGCTATACATTTTAGGGCAGTGAAATATCCGAGAAAATACTTTGTCAGAAAATACTTTCAGAATAATTGTTTAAAATTTTAGGCATGTATTATTTTTTTACTGCAAATTCTTAAAAAAATAACACATAAAAACGTGGGTGAAAGATGAACTCATATTAAATATAAAATATTTAATAAAATGGATTGAACTATACAGCAAGATCTTATAATACTGAATCATAGTAAATGGCATATTAACAAGCCCCCTTCTGTTTATTTTTCCCTCGTACTCAAAGCATGGAAGATAAACTTACATTCTTTCTGTGCAAATGACGGCCCATCCTTATAGGAAACGTTAATAATTTAGGAGGTAGAGACCCTCCAATTAATTAATTTTGAAGCAGGTCACTGGAATAATGGCACAGCCCTGCTTCTCCCTGCTATGGTTTCTTAAATCTCCAGGCCTGATTTCAGTGGTTTGGAATACATATATATTAGGGCAGTGGTGGCGAACCTATAGCACGCGTGCCAGAGGCGGCACTCAGAGCCCTCTTTGTGGGCACACATGCCACGGCTGCCAGCAGCTTGCGCAGGTCCATTAGGCCGCTGCCACCGCCCAGAACGGCAGCCCCACCAGGCACAAAGGAGGCAAAGTGGCCAGCTAGCAAGATCGAGTAGAGGTGGTAGAGCACGCCCATACCCAGCAAGCCAAAGGCCACCCCGAGCAGGGAAAGCTGGATCCTCATCGGCGCCATGGCCCCCCAGTCCCAGCTAGGATTGCGTGCCTCCCACCATCTATTCTGGGCTTCCTGCCCACCACCCTACCCGGCAGAGACCCCCTGGATCTCCCCCAACCCTGCCCAACCTCCCCTCCATGAACAACATCGAGGTGGCCATGCCCACCCCAGCCACGCCCACTCAGTCTGCCGTGACAACTGCAGCCATGCCCACCCAGTGGGCCACGCCCCCATGCCCCCCCTGAGGGCACCACAATGCTGATGCGGCCCTGGCACTTTGCGATAAATAAGTGGGTTTTGGGTTGTGGTTTGGGCACTCGGTCTCTAAAAGGTTCGCCATCACTGTATTAAGGAGTGGCTCTCAGTAAAATTCTGTAACTTTCATTGTTGCTTCAGAGTGTGTGGATTTGGGGGATATTTTGCCACAAATTAATTTTGCCATAATCACAATATTTTTTTCAAGAGGCAGACTTGCATATCAAATCACAACATAGAAGCTGGGTTAAAAATTACAAAATGATTAGTAAAATTGTCTTTGCATTGTATGTAAGTCCTGTGGAAACCAGAGAAATATGCAAGCAAAATGAAGGACAGTCTGTGAATATTTAAAATAAAAAGCCCAAGAATTGTTCTACATACTGTACATGGCATGTTACTGATTTTACCACTTCATACTGAATTCTGCTCCACACTAAATATGTATTTGTAATGAAAATTAGCCTTCAAGGAGAGGGTTTTCTTCCCGATCTTATCTGCATGTAGATTATTTAGTAGATTGTCCCATCTTTATTACTTTATAAGTTACTCAAGGCAGCAAAGATACCCCATACTCCATCTTTCTCCTCTCCACAACAACAACCCAGTGAGGTGGGTTGGACTGAGAGAGAGTGACTGGCCCAAAGTCACCCAGCCAGCTTTCATGCCTAAAGTGGGATTAGAACTCATGGTCTCCTGGTTTGTAAGTCAGCGCCTTAACCACTACGCCAAACTTTTGGTTCTTGGATTTGCTACTTCGGGGAGTTTGATTAGAATTCTTGACTCAACTGAAAATAAGGAAGTCCACCCCCTACCGTGCGAGGTCTTTCTCCTCTTTTTCCCAGCAAGTCTAATTCCCAGGAAGTGAAGTGAGCAATTGGGCAATTGGGATATAGAAGGTGGGACTGATAAGTAAACACAGCTGCTGAGTTCCATTCCAAAAAATCATTTGCTAATAAGGATAGCGCTGGTATCTCTTGAGGGTGCAGTGGTGTCAAACCTCCTCCCATGTCTCCCCTTCAGCTTTCTGAAGGACCACACAGATTAACGGAATGTGCTGCTCCTGCTGGGCTCCTTGTTCTTTGTATAAAATAATAAATAAATACAAGTCAATCATTAAAAAGAAAGGAAGACATTAACAAGTCGTACATCTATCTGCTATTTTCATTTAGCCTCAATACTGATGATTTCCTTTATAAGGTGGGGCTTGGGCCAGGGGACTCAGCTGGGATGCATCCTTGCAGGTGAAAGATGTTTGCTAGAGAAGGCCATTTCAAGATGGCGCTTTTGAACAAAAGTACTATATCTGACCATTGTTAGCATTTTAGGTGGGCTTCTGGGATGGCATGCCTGGCTTTAGGAGCTGCTATCTCCCTAGAAAAATTCCATTATAGGCATTACCGCTATTATTGCCCAGCATACAACTAGTCACCCTAAGAATTCACAACCTAATGGCAGGGAAAGGGGGATAGATGGGGACATTTCAAAGCTAGAGAAATGTTTTCATTTATTGAAAATTGCCAGCCACCAAAGGGGTCTGGCAATTTGAGGGAAAGATAAGATGCTGGATCAGGATAAGCAGCATGGTTTGGGAAAATATAAAGTCTGACTGGATGTTTCAGAAGCTCTAATACAAAGATAGGTGAAATAGGGGAAGTGAAGTGGTATAGCTTTATTTTGAACAGCTCTGATCGTAGGGGCAATATTTTATATATCTATGAGTTTGCCTGGATGTTCCAGTCTCTGGGCTCATTCTTTACCAGGATCTTCAATATTTAGTAAATGTAATTCTACTTTCTTTTTTTCCCTTTTTTCTTTAAAAAAAAACCAATTATAAAAATCCCTGGATTCTCAGAGTCACATCAGTCACATGAAATAAGCGTTTACTTTTTTATTCTACCTTGACTACTTATGGGGAGAAGCCAGATGCATTTCTCCCCACTGGAATTTCTACACATACCCACACTGTTCTCACTTTGTCATACACTGCTGCTTCAATTCAAGCATATTGTAATATATGTCAGAAAATATATGAATCATAGCATATTCACAAATCTGTTTGGGTTTTTGTTACTAAGAAAGATTGTGGGAAAGTTTGCAGCCCTGTTATTGCCCACTTCTTGCCCTGTGGTATCTTGATTAAATCAAACTGAATTTCCAGAAAACTCTTTAGCTTCCTAATTTATTTCTTTTTTCTTTTTCCTGGCTCTTCAAGGTGAAAACAGATGAGCGGATCATGAAGACAGAGTACGGCTTGCTGTTTCGGAAACTCTTTCGTCAGGATACTGGAACTTATTACTGCAGGTCTCAGGAGCAGGGCTTTACTCAGACTGTCACCAAAATCATTTTGGAAGTGGTTGAGAATGAGCAGCTGGAACAAATTTTCCAGAGGGAGCAGGAGGAGGAGCTGCCTCGCCCTCCATGCCGACTTCCCAATCTCCGCTTGGTGCAGGGACAACGATTGTGGTTCAAAGACATCATGCATCTGATCGGCTATGGCAATCTGCAGAGAGTGGAGGAGTACTGTGAGCGTGTGTGGTGCGGAGATCGTGCTTCGTGGCATAAAGGCAAACTCCCAAAGAGCAGGAACCTGCTGGATGGTGGCAAAAAGGGAAGAGGCAAGCAGCCCGGTGACAGAAACCGGGTGCCCAGGCAAGCAGTAGCCGCTGAAGGGGAAATGGAGCCAACTCTTGGCAAAAGCATCCCGTAAATTAAAATCCACCCTTCTAAAACTTTGCCCTGATGGAAGCCCCTTGCCCTTGCTGATCAACTGAGCCTATTCATATCCCTTCCTTTTTGTCAAAATGCTGGAGACTTAACAAATACCAAAGTATTGTTTTTCTATCCCGTATTGACAACCCTGGTGTGAGTTATATCACACCTCACACGGTATCAAGTCTAAGAAAGGGTGGAGGTGGGCCTCACTCATGATTATTTTAAATGCTGGCATCCATGAAGCCTCATGTTCAGTACGGCTGAGCTACATGACTCAGAAAAGGAGCCTTAAGGATCTAACCAGGTGGCTGGGAGACTGTTACCAGCAACTAAGGAACGGCAGCACCCACTCCTCTTACAGGACTGAGACGAAACAGTGGGGAGCTGGAAAGAATGGAGATATGTAACCCATGCTCTTCTGGAGGTGAAAAGGATCAGCTGTAGATAATAGGTGACACGGTCACCCCTTTGAAGGAACAGATGCTGCTTCCGGTGATCTATTCTCCCTATACTTCATGCTGGGTATGGGTGTGTGACCATTGAACTCTGCGTATCATGGTACCTGGAGGTGCAAAGCAGATCATTATAGTACTTCCAGCCTCATGCTTTTCCTTCTTCTGTCCAACAGGTCAAAAGTAATGTCAATTCTTTGGGCATGATTACATACGAGTTTTAAAAAGGCCAGTTATGTTTACAGTATGATTTGACCCTAGTGCTCATTTACACCGCATGTGTCCTTCTAGTGCAGCGGTTCTCAACCTATGGGTCGCGACCCCATTTGGGGTCGATCGACCATTTCACCGGGGTCGCCAAGCAAGGCTGTCCGCCATTTTTTTCCCCTTTTCCGGCAGGTGCCTTACCTCCCTTGGGCTGGGCCAGCTGGTGGTCGGCCTGCTCCGTCTCTGCCGCTTGCCAGCTACGCCTCGGTCGGTGCAGGGGGCGGAACCACGCATGCGCGGCGCTCCCGGGCAGGGAAAGTCCTCGACTTACGACCGGTTTAGTCCTCGACTTACGACCGGTTGGTGTCGTGGCATTAAAAAGGTTGAGAACCACTGTTCTAGTGCATTCTTTTCAAATAACCAACAGTTGGAGGCGAAACTAAACTTGCCAAACAAACAAGCAAAGAAATAAACAGAAACCTCAGGGGTAGCATGGGCCAGACCCAAATATATATCTTATGCAGCTCCCATTACTTCCCTAGGTTTTTCTCAGACTGAGCAGAGATTTCAGTGGGGAAATGAATGGCAGAAAAGCAGCTAAGTTTTTCTTTTCCTCAGCCCTCCTCTGTTGCAATTGTCCCCCCCTCCCCACAAGCCCTCTGTCAAAAAGCAGAGGAACCACTAGGCTAACCTTGGCCACGTCACGTAGTTTGGTCTACCTATTCCTGAGCTTCCTACATTTTGCTTGCCAATATCTTATCCTGTCCAGGAAAGCCTGGCTTCTCTGTATCACCTCTGATTATCTCATTGCTGGCCACTTTTATTGGGCAGTACAATCACAGATGGGACCCACCACCGGAGGGCCACACGAGCCAATAAGCCTTTCGTGGACTTGTATTAATTAATTCCTTTGTTTTAAAGATTGACAGCTAAATGAAAACTAGCAGTTTGTTCAACAAATAAATTAAATCTTACATAGCAAGTTCTGACTTGGAAGTAATTTTACACCCTCTTCTTGACTTTCATCAGCATAATGAATAGTCGTAGGACAAGGTGGACCTGGGATTGAGATATTAGTTACTTTTTTACCAGCTGATCAGGGCTTCATCTTTTCATTGCTGTTCAGGCAATGGATGCAGCAGAGAAGGGAAGCTTCAGTAGCTGGGAAGGGGGCAGGAGAAGTGGGGCATTCATTACTAGAACCTACCCACAGCCCTGCCAACATTTGCCATTTTATATGGGAAAAGAGCAAATGAGTGGGAGAACGAGAGAGAGCTGGATTGTAACATTTGTCAAATGGGAAAAGCTGATGCAGGATAGCTTTCTAGCCTCATAACGAAACAGTTTTGTCTGGACATCTGCCCACTAATATCTTTAAATCCCCTGGGTTGCCTTGATTTGAGTGCCCTATGGCACTGCAATTGCCAAGAATAGATAATAAAAATAAATCAGGAGAGCTTCCAGTGTGTTTCCTCAAAGGTGCAGTGGGATAGATCCCAAACCAGAAGGTCCCAACATGGGGGGTCTGACCCAGCCCATGGGATAGGTCATCTCACTGAGGGAAGAAGGTTTAAGAAGTTGGCACTTCAAAGCATTTGCTCGAGAGAAACAAAAGTGACTGCCAAGTAGAAACATTATTTCTTGACAATCACAATATTGTTTAGCTGAGAGATTTGATTCCCTGTGTGGACTGATGGGCATATTCTGACAGATGGGTCAAGCCATCTATCAAAACTCACTTCCTTCCCAAGCTTCAGCTGTATCCCATGTTAGGGAGAGTGATTTTTCCCATCAACGGGAAATCCACCCATTGCGTTCCTTAATCTCTCCCACATTAAAGCTATAAAAGTACTACTTGCAAGCCTTGTAATTGACTGTCAGGATAGCCCAATTCAAGCCTTCATATTTTTGTGCTGACTCAAGGACTTGAAAAGCAGAATGAATAGCCGTCTGTCAGGAATGATTCTAAGAAATGGTTGCCATGGTGATTCTGTCTGTTCCAATTTTTCCTCTATTTCCACCCACCTCCACAAGCCCCTCTTATCTACTGGGTTGCACCTGGTTGACTTTTTCCTAACAGATGGGCACGTTTTCAAAGGAAGCATTGGGCTGCAACCATCAGTCGTTGTTGCTCCTGAGAATGCTTATAAAACCCACATATGGCTCACAGACTTTCTTGGAAATAAAGATGACGCTATAGCTCTGCTTTGTCCTGTAACATGTCAGCATGAATATGTTTAATTAATAAAATGTAACAAAAAGACAAGCAGATCAGAGAGCCTGGCTGGCACTAGGGCAATAATCCACTAGTGTGTTTCCAATGCTTGTTCTATTTGTGTACACCCCAGATTTGTGGATTTCTCTTTTGCCAAGTTGGTGACATGTTCCTTAAACTCTAATGTATAGCTCATTCAAAACAATCCAAGAGTTCCTTCAATGATCAAGCAAACCTTTTGTAAACTTTAGGTTCCACATCCTGATTGACCATACTACTGGACATTGTCCCATTAAAAAAAGAATGGACTAGATGGGATGAACACAATTCGGAGGTTGATGTGCAGGTATCGATTGGGCCTAGAAACAGAATAGACTCCTGTGGGAGATGGGATGGGCATGATTCTTATCACCACATGTAACCAGAATATAAATCAGAACTACTTCATAAAGTCAGTTCATCTGTTTTTCCTCTGAATCCATTTTTATCATTGCTCACCATCAACAGATTATCTATAACAAACAAATGATACATTAGATTCTCTTGGCACACAGAACAGTCCCTTTATGTCACGCAATTGGGACTTCTTTGAGGTTCACGGGGTTTGTGCCAAATGTTCTGTGCAAAACACCAGTTCAAGATATATTCTGGAGTGGTGATGGGGCAAACAGGGCAATACTGGTTCAGGCTGCCCTCTCTCTCCCCCCCTCCTCCCTAGTAGCTACAGCACAGAGTATCCAAGCAGCCCACCCACTCCTGATCTTCTGTGTGGCTACCCTTCCCTTCTAAAAGCTGCTGCTAATGTCCTTGCCTTTTTCTTCCTCATACCTCTTCTGAATCACTTCTATCCAGAAGAATCATGCTTTGGTCCATTTCCAGAACAAACCAACTTTGCCCCATTCTTTGTATGAACTAAAATATCTGAAACGTTTTGTTTTTGTTTTAGTTTGGATGGCAATCATCTTAAAACACCAGTTAAATTCACAGAGCAATTCATATGCATAACATTTGCATAACCAACCTATCTTCCAGTCCTTTCCCACATATCTCTCTCCTTTAAATCCTCCATCGATGGAGGATTTCTCCCTCTCCCTCTCCCTCTCCCTCTCTCTCTCTTATAACGCAGTCACTTTATATAATTGGTCCCAGTAAATCACTCCCAACACTTACTAGTAAAGCAAGAATAATAGTAGCCTTACAAGTTACTCTTGCATTGAAAAAATCTGTCAGAATCTGATTAGAAAAATCTGCATCCATATTTCCTGCTGAAAGAGGAGAGGGATCTGTTTATTTAGCCCAAGGACTAGTTCGTTTTTGTGAACTGTAATTTTGCTACATTGGAATATTTTATTTAAAAAAAATACAGAGCTGCAATGACTGTACGATGTACTGATTGAAAGCAATTAAATAGGTTGCAATGAAGACGGTTTGATTTAAAACATGATTGTAGTAAAGAAGATATGGGGGGAAACGAGAGGAAATTTTAAGAGGGAGAAGCTGAGAAAGATGAGAGAGAGAGAAAACAGTGAATATATCCATGACACCATTGTATCTCTCCTCAACAGATGAACTAATGTATTACTAATTCAGTTTTGGTGTATTTGAAACCACTGCAAAGATGGTTCATTTCTGGAAATACGCTCCTTTCCCCCTCCCATTTGAAGAATTCTTGCCTCATCCTGCCTTTCAGTTCTTGGTTTAGACCTGTACCATCAGGTCTTTCAAGAGAAGGGGTTTAACTGCTTTTCAGCTTCCTCTTAATACAAGCTACTTCATCATGATAATGATGATGATGATGAATTTTTGGTAGACAGTTAGAAAAATGCAACAGGAAGTATAGATTAGTGGAGGAGGAGAAGTAATTTATTTTACCTCCATTTCTCATTGACTGAGACTGGGAGGTCATTTTGCAGAACCTGACCAAATCATTCATTTTCAGTTCTGGTTCTAAGCATTTCTCTTTACTAAAATTAAGACATTTGGGGTGTGTCTTCAAAAAGCTTTTGAAGGATGGGGAGACACAAAAAGTGAATAGAATTAGAATTAGAACAGAATAACGGAATTGGAACAGACCTTGGTGCTCTTCTAGTCCAACCCCCTGCTTAGGCAGGAAATCCTATA